TTTGTTTGTTTGTTTGTTTGTTTGTTTGTTTGTTTGTTTGTTTGTTTGTTTGTTTGTTTGTTTGTTTGTTTGTTTGTTTGTTTGTTTGTTTGTTTGTTTGTTTGTTTGTTTGTTTGTTTGTTTGTTTGTTTGTTTGTTTGTTTGTTTGTTTGTTTGTTTGTTTGTTTGTTTGTTTGTTTGTTTGTTTGTTTGTTTGTTTGTTTGTTTGTTTGTTTGTTTGTTTGTTTGTTTGTTTGTTTGTTTGTTTGTTTGTTTGTTTGTTTGTTTGTTTGTTTGTTTGTTTGTTTGTTTGTTTGTTTGTTTGTTTGTTTGTTTGTTTGTTTGTTTGTTTGTTTGTTTGTTTGTTTGTTTGTTTGTTTGTTTGTTTGTTTGTTTGTTTGTTTGTTTGTTTGTTTGTTTGTTTGTTTGTTTGTTTGTTTGTTTGTTTGTTTGTTTGTTTGTTTGTTTGTTTGTTTGTTTGTTTGTTTGTTTGTTTGTTTGTTTGTTTGTTTGTTTGTTTGTTTGTTTGTTTGTTTGTTTGTTTGTTTGTTTGTTTGTTTGTTTGTTTGTTTGTTTGTTTGTTTGTTTGTTTGTTTGTTTGTTTGTTTGTTTGTTTGTTTGTTTGTTTGTTTGTTTGTTTGTTTGTTTGTTTGTTTGTTTGTTTGTTTGTTTGTTTGTTTGTTTGTTTGTTTGTTTGTTTGTTTGTTTGTTTGTTTGTTTGTTTGTTTGTTTGTTTGTTTGTTTGTTTGTTTGTTTGTTTGTTTGTTTGTTTGTTTGTTTGTTTGTTTGTTTGTTTGTTTGTTTGTTTGTTTGTTTGTTTGTTTGTTTGTTTGTTTGTTTGTTGGATTTTTGCCCCACCCCTCTAGACCATATCTACTCGGAGCGGCTACTCCCTATACCACACCATGGCTGGAGTGCAATGTGTTCCAGCAAAAAATAGTGCACATCTTTATCAAATTTGGTGCATCGTGCTAGTTCGATACACAGCCTGTGTAGATTCAATAATATTTTTAATTCAAATAATGTATGATTTCCTTCCTTTCAAGTCAAGGGGTAATGTCGGCGTATATAAAAAAAAATTTGGGGGGGGGTAATAGGTAAAAAAGTTCCCTGACCCCTGCCTTAGAAGGACTTTTTTGAGCTCCCCCCGCAAAAAAATTTTTTTTTAAGATGGTGGACGTTTATTGGGAAGAACAAAAATGGGCTCGAGGGGCTGCATGTAGCCTATGGGCCATATATTGCCCACCTCAGCCGTAACCCTATCATGCATCTCCCATAAACTTGCCCACCTAGGTGTTGCCCCAGCTGGGTTTTCTCCCAGGTAAGTGAACAGGGAACTGCTACGGGAAGCCCACTGAATCACACACCTTAGTTCAGACGAATTTTCTCCCAAATTAAGGAAGCATCAGATTGCAGCTGGATGCTCCATAAAACACACTGGGGCTTACCTCTGAAAGGTTAGGATTTCTGGTTTATAGTGGAATTTACAGAGAAAGGGATCCATGTTATTTTTTTTTAAGTAACGCTTTTTATAAGAAGCAGAAATGGTAGGAAAACAGACAGAAAACTTCATTTAAACCATACATGCCATGCCTACGTATTTGATCCAGTAATGCAAGTTCTTTAAACACATCATACCACAGGCTTTGTCTTCCTTTATGGACATTAATTAATCTGTGGACTAAATTACTCTAGAGTAACTAAACTAATTAATTAAGCTAATTTTAGGTATCATTAATTCAGCCATCTGACTGCTACTTCATTATTCCTTTCCCAGTTAGAGCAAGCAACACCTCACTTGCTAAATAGTTTCCATTTATCAGCCTTGGGTTCTATGATAGGGAAGAAAAGTTGGCTCTTTTCTTTGGAATTAACAGTGTGTAAACCGTTCCAGCCCAAGGGTGATGGGAAAACTGAGTGTTAGTCTTGTTGCTGAAATAATGGATGTGTAAACCATTCCAGCCCAAGGGTGAGTGTTAGTCTTGTTGCTGAAATAATGGCAGTTAACTGTTTGACTAGCACTAGCTGGGGTGATCATCACACATTATCTTATTAAAGTTGTTGAAGCACTGATGGGGGCAGCAAAGAGGTTACCCTCAATGTCCTCCTCTTCCCGTCTTGGAGTCGCTGAGCGTAACTGCTATGGGTTATGAATTCTTTCTTATATCGTGGGAGGCAAGGTGGGGAACTGAGCAGAAACAGATGATGTGTTATTCAAATACTAGCTGGAAGGCATGCATGCCCAAGCCTTCTGGGGTTCCTCTCTGTTCATTTGCGTAAGATATTTGTTCCTTTCAGAGAAAAAGGAAATATTGTGGGTTTTTGGAAAGTTTCAAGTAAAAATGTGAAGATGCCCTGAAAATGTCACTGATCATCCACCACTTCCAACAGCAGAGGAAATGGGTGTGTGAAATCACACACCCATTCCTTGCTGACACCAGATCATTTTACTCCCCCTACAAAATAGGTATTGCTGTTTGGACAATCCTTTCCCTGGCCTTCTTGATGATCTGTAGCCACCCACCAAAAATAACCATCCTTACTTTCAGGTCCACTTTTACAATCTTCTCAAGCCAGGCACGGTAACTGGCCAAGCAGACTAAAGGATTGTGGGAATGGTGCTGAATGATAGTTCTTTCCAAACATGCAAACAAGTGCACATACAAAGGGACTTAGTAACCTTTTGGAGTTGGGACACTACATTACATTCAGTTCAATGCAGATGGTGAGTAATAGATTTGAATGTGATTGCCTTCTGATAATGTCCAGAATCCTACTGATGTTTGTGTGACGTTTGTATAGCTTGACACCGCTAACTGAAGCTAATTGACAAGGTGCTAGGGTGAATCCCAGATGTGTAATTGTGCCTGGTCATCTGCCCATCTTGATCAGTTACCCACAGTTAACCATGGCAAGTTGCACAAACAATACACCTCTCTTTGAGAGCTTCCTGGGTCTATAAAACAGCATACGGGTGTTCTACATGTCCCTGCATGTCGCTCAGCACGCCATCATCCTGCCGTCTGCTTTGCATGAAGAATGTCTGTCTCAGCCATGTATAATCACATCAAACTAAGGATTGCCTGACTGGATCAGGTCAAAGATTCATCTAGTCTAGCATTTTATCTCTCAACAGTAAGACAGTGGATGATTTTGACAAGCCTCAAAAAAGGAGGACTTGGATGTGATATCTACCCCTCTTATCTTCTCTTGGAAATCAGAGGTTGACCCTGAATATGGAGGTTTGTTTAGCTGTCATCACTACTGACTATTGATAGTTCTATCTTATAGGGCTTTATATAACTCTATTTTAAACCCTGTGTAACTAATGGTTGTAAACAGGTTTTCAAATCAGCAAAATGAGCTAATTATGCAGACTTTTTTTAAAAAAGGGGGAAAAATTCTTGTCTACAAGGGTTGTCCATGATGACGTACTGAAAACAATGCATTTTGAATGACTTGAGTTCTTTTTCTTTGGATTAGGACAGCTTCTTCCATGGATAACCACCTTACTGTCCCGTTTAGTGAAACTGAGACCAAGATTAATGGAGAACAGCTCACATGCACTGGAGAAGGCAAGTTTGTCAGCTTATAGAATGACTACATACAGTTGGCTATTTGATGATAACATCTGTGATCAGCTCTCTTCTGTAGACAACAGAGCTCTGCTCACACAGGGTGCCAAACTGGAGGGGTAACCAGGACAGTTAAGGATGGGTGAGTCAGCTTCCATCAACCCAATCCGTACACATCAGAATCTAGATCTAACCTGTAGGCTTTGCTGTCGTAGAAAACCCAGCTGTGTGAAATCATCATCATCATCATCATGTGCCATCAAATCAATTCTGACTTATGGCGACTCTTTTCAGGGTTTTCTAGACAAAGAGTAATCAGAAGTGGTTTACCATTCCCTTCCTTGTGAGAGGCATGCTGAGACTATGCAGCTTGCCCAAGGCCACACGGGCTGGCTCTACTTGCAGGAGGAATCAGATTCCCAGTCTCTGGCTCCACAGCCAAATACCTAAACCACTGAGCTATCCAGCCAACTTTGGATAGTGATAACAAGAAGGCTGGAAGCAATCACTCACATACTTTCATGAGTAAATTCATCCAACTGTATCCTGGGATGGGCCACATGTAATCTCTGGTACTTCAAGGGTCCTTCAGAATCCCTATATACACCTCAACCACTATTGGACTTTCAGCCAGGCAGAAAGCATATGAAATTAATTAGAGGTGCTCTTTGTTAATTTTAATAAGCTCTGCAAAATCTGGGTACTCTTAGGGAATGCACTGTCTGGGCTGAAGATCCACCCACTTCGATTTATTTCAACACTCAGTTTGCTCCTTCATAAAGTTATTACACGAAATCGACAGGCCTTCCTGACATTTCCATTTTTTAAGCAATACATCATCAAAATAAAGTGCTCTGAAATGTATTTCAGGCATACATTGTTCAAAGGAGAGCTAGGATGATAAATCTCTTAAATGATGTTGCTGTCTAGGAATGATATCTTTAAGTACAAATGCCAGGTAATCTCTTGGTTCCCACACATTCCTCTCCAAAGCTAGACCAGGAACAAGCACTGCCAAACATTTGGAAGCATCTGCCTTCCCTTATGGCTGATATTAAAATAGTCAGCAGTCCAGGCATTGTTTTAAGCGTATTGGGACAATACTGGTTGGCAATTACTGGGAAAGCTCTGAAGTATTTGTGAAGCTGCATGGCGATGTAGTCCCTGTCACTTTCACGGCTATATTTAACTGTTCTTGCATCATAATTACAGTTCATAGGTTAATAATTGCAGCTCATGACACATGCCCTAGTTACATCTCACTTAGATTACTAGAATACACTCTACGTGGGGCTGTCTTTGGAAAGTATTCATAAAATCCAAAAGGTCCAAAATTCCTAACCCAGATTGTTATCTGGGACTGGTTATAGGGAACATGTAAGACCCCTATCACAGCAGCTCCATTGCCTGAAAATCAGTTTCCAGGCACAATTCAAAGTGCTGGTTTTTAACTTACCAAGCATTAAATGGCTTGGGTCCAAGCTATCTAAAAGACCACATCTCCCTCTATGAGCCTGCCTGAACATGAAGATCATCAGTGGAGGCCTTTCTCTAAGTATCACCAGCTTCACAGGTGCCCTTGGTGGGGGGCACGGGAGAGGACCATCTCTGTTGCTGCTCCCAAACTCTGGAACTCCCTCCCGCGGGAGGCCAGCCTGGCCCCATCTTTGCTGTCCTTCTTCAGGCAGGCAAAGACCTTTCTCTTCAAGCAGGCCTCTCCTTAATGACTGGTGGTCTGAGTAGGGTTTTTAATGGACCGTTGTGCTCTGTTCTTTTAAATGTGTTTTAATATTGATCTTAGTTATCATGTTAATATAGTACTTGTTTAATTCTTTTTAAAATATTTCTATACTTACTGTTTTAGCTTTTAAATACTGTTTTATTAACATAAGCCGTGTTGGTTCCTTTTGGGGAGCAAGATGGCTTAGAAATACTTTAAATAAAATAAATAAAATAAATTAATTAAATAAGCTAACTTTATCTAGCTAGTATCTCAAAGCACCAAACACCACCATGTCCTCCTTTTCAGATAAAATTTGAATATTGGTGTTTATGTATCCAAAAGGCAACCAATTCCACACAAAAAGACAGCTGGAAGTAGGTTTGGAGGGCACTCCATGTTTTACGTTTTTTAAAAATTGTAAAAAGGTTACAATTTTGAAATCTAAAACTACAATCTAAATTTTAAATTAAAAAAAATCAAACGTTTAAAATTTTTGCTTAGGGGTGGCAGGGAAAGAGATCGCAGTTTTATACTTTTCCATACCAGATCGTGAGGCACGTGAATGAGGTGCTTGTGGGCTTCCCGTAGGCTGAAGACTGCGCGGACAGAATTTTGGGCTAGGCAGGTGGTTTGCCTGACGTAGCACAGCATTTCCTTGTATTCATATGAACCTAATGGAGACTGAAGTTGCTTAGTGGCCACAGGATACCAACTGTCTATTGTGGGATGAAATTGTCAGTGAGAACTGATGTGGTGTGCCCCTTACCCCAGATACAAAATTCCACTCCTTCCAATTAAAAACTTCACAATAAAGTTCTCAGGATGATCTGCTGAAAACAAGGTATTGAGAAACTTTCTATTACTTGTGACATTGCTTATTGTTTCTCCATCTCTGTTGCTTAGATTCCCCGGTAGCTTAGGTTTGATAAGAGAACGGTGTAGAATTAGACAGTTTCTGTCAAAATGTTGTTTTAAATGCCCTCAAATACCCTTAAACTACTGAACTATTGAAAGTAACTGTTATATTATTTGCTTTACCAATATGTGAAGAATTTTTCTCTTAAAAATCTTTCAGGAGGCATTTTTAAGTTGAAAGGTATCAGGAAAGCATTTATTTATGTAGGCAGGACAATCAATCAATATATACACACCCTGAAGGATCTGTACAGATGCCCAAAGTTCCAGAACGTATAGGGTAGCTTTTATAGATGGTTACAGAAAGCACCATAAATAAATAACCAAAACTGGCACTCTTTTGAAGTTTCTTTCTTTGAAGTACTTTCATCTTACAGGATGTTTCTCAAATTGTACCCATTTCTTTCTGCATCTGGGTTGTCCAAAATGAAAATTATGAACAGTGTTCCTCTGTAGCCTTTGTTAGTCAAAGGACAGAAGGCTTCTTTTGTTCCTACGTGTCTTCATGCTTTGGAAGGAATGGCTGTTTCCCTTAATACATTTAATTAGCTAAGCTAAGGTACATTGGCTGCTTGTAATGCATTCATATAATCGCTAAATTTTAACATATACAGACATATTTCAAAAGTTACAATGAGGACCAATCTCCTCAAATAAAGTATTTTTATTTTATTTTTATTTTTTAAAAACTATTTTTATCCTGCTTTTCTCCTTCAAGGCAGCTTACTTCATTAAAAAGGCAATAGTCAAAAACTATACATAGTAGGTATGCAAATATTAAAAGGAAATAAAACAAGTATTATATTAGAAGCCATAAGTAAAATCGATATTAAACACATTTAAAACCACAGAGCGCAAGAATCCATTTAAAAATTCCTCTCAGACCATCAGTCATTAAGGATAAGAGAAAGGTTTGCAGACGTAATTTCATTTCTATTTCTCACCCAATTTGTGACAGTTAATTTGGCAACACCTTCCTTACTTTCAAAAATAACTACATAGTTGCAGATAATTACATCAGGTATAACTTGCTACTTAGAAGAGAGTTGACATCAGTATTGCCGGTTATTGCTACTATTTTGTCCCTCTTGCTACCTGTCCCTTTCTCCTGCCTGTGCATGCGGATCTGTACAGGTATGTCAGATGTTTCCTTGATATACAACATATGCAGTATGTATGGTATTTATTTCTTTAAAATATTTTTACCTTCACTTTGTCCTTTAAAAGGGTGCAAGGCAGCTTACATAATTCTAAGACAATATTTAAAAACTAAAAACAGTAAGAATACAAATACTTAAAAAGAATTAAGCAAGTATTATATTAAAATGCCAAATAAAATCAAGACTAAAAGACATTTAAAAAGCAACAGGGCACAATAATCCATTAAAAAACACCCTCTCAGATAGCCAGTCACTATAGGAAGAACAGCTTGCAGAAGAACAGCAAAGATGGGGCCAGCCTGTGGGATAGAGTCTGAGAGCAGTGACATAGAAGTCCCTGTCCCATATCCCCACCAATTGCAATTGTGAAGAACCAAGACCAAGACAATGGACTCATCTGATGATTTAAAAACCCAGGCAGGTTTATAAAGGAAGACATAGTTGGGACCCAAAGAATATAGGGCTTCATAGGTTAAAAACAGCACTTTGAATTGCTCCCAGAAACAGATCAGCAGCTAGTGGACGTTCTGTGACAAGGAGATTATGTGACCCCTGTAACCAGCCCCAATCTGGCTACAACATTTTGGACCCACTGGAGTTTCTGAACACTTTCCAAAGGCAGCCCCAAGTAGCGTGTGCTACAATAATCCAGCTGGGATGGAATGAAGGCATGTGTCACCGTGGGCAGTCCAAACCTCCCCAGGAGGGAGTACAGCTAGTAGATTGGTTTTAATTATGCACAGGCTGTATCCCAGGAGCAACCCTGTCTTGTCTGGAATTAAGTTTCACTTTATTCACTCTCATCCAGTCCATTACAGATACCAGACACTGAAACAGAGCCGAAACAACACCCTCAGATTTAGATGGCAAGGACCGATAGAGTTGGGTGTCAGCTGCATACTGGTGGTGTCGAATTCCAAAATTCTGGACCACCTCTCCCACCAGTTTCATGTAGATGTTAAATAGCATAAGCGTATACATATATGTGATCTTTCTCTTTAAATGGCATGACTAAACTCTATTAGCAGTCCCCTTTCCCTTTGGGTAGTGTAATTAGCCCCCTTCAGTCATTATGCAAGTAAGTAACAAACACAGGTGAGGAGCGGGAGGGCTTAAGTCCTGTTAGACTCAAATATCATTCCTCTTAGATTGTCTTTATGAAGGGCATAGCCTCTTTTCCTTGTGATTCAGAATGCTGATACCTTAGGATGCTAGACAGTATGGAAAGCCTCTATGGATAGAAGAATTTCATCTCTTCACAAAACTACTCAACATTCAGGAGAATGACATTGGGCGTGCCAGTTATTCTCCTTGCCTCAAGAGGAAGCAAAGTATTTTGTGGTGCTTGATGAGAGAACCCTTTTTTTTGGATGCAAACACTTCATCACAAATATCATAAAACACACCAGTTGGCAATGGCTGCTGCTCTGTTTCATGGACCTTTAAAGACTGAAAGCATCAAAGGAGTTAGATCTTTTTAGCAGTCAGCCGGTCCTTCTGTACTTGCTGTGTCCATGTGGTTAGACTCTCACATAGAAAAGACTGTGTTTTTGTGTAGTCATTGTGACCAACTTACAAAGGACTTGTTGGGTGAGAGAGGAGCAAAACACTCTTTGTCTTGGCCTCATCTGAAAATAAGGAATCTTGCAGGGCTTGAAGATTCCCCACTGGACCGCCTTGTCAAGGTAGTCCAATGAGAATGAAGAGTTCAGCAAGTATTTTTTTACATCCTTACTACAAAGGGCTATGAGTACCCTGACCATGCTGTATGAGAATGATGGATTTACACTCTTTTTCTTTCCACGTAGGGCAATTTCATAGGATGTTGGTGCGCATGTTGGGAGCCAAAAGGGTTTTAGCCATAGGCGCACTAAAAGTGCCATGCCTTCTGGCGATGGCTGAAGTGATTCCAGATGACGGAAGCATAATCGTATACGCCTTACAACCATATTTTGGACAATCCAACCAGGAGGCATTTGATTTCTCACCTCATGGGAACAAAATAAGGACAAAGACAGGACCGATAACTGATTCCTTGAAGGTACCATTGAATGCTCAGTGAATATTTGTAGCAAGTCAGTTTAACCACTTCATTATTTTACAGGTATTTATACTGAGGAGCCCTTCCTCCTTCATTAGCTTGACCTTCTGGATGAAAACAGTAGAAATCTGAATAGGATTATAGATGAGTGTGTATTTATCAACTTAGTATTTATCAACTCACTTGACTTCTTTGAGCTCTAAGCCGATAGCACTCTGAGCTTAGAAGTGGATGGACATAATATTTGAGGAAGGTGGGAAACTCTCCTCCATATTCTATATACAAGCTTCACCTAGGAAAGAAAAGAGCATTTTCCCCCTTTCTAAAATATTAAAAAAACTCTCCCATGTTGGCATCCTTGAACACAAGGACTACCATCTTGTTGCCTAAATGTGGAGTGGAAGAAAAAGAGTATATGCTCAACCAGTGTGAGAACAGACATGTGGTGGTGAGCTCATTGGAGTGCAGGGGAAAAATCTATTCTGTTCCATGTTTAGGAACTACCCAGGCTGGCAGTGGGATTTTGGGAAAAGTAGCCCAGAAAGTAGAGGCTCCAAGCTCTGTTACTACTACTACTACTACTACTACTACTACTACTACTACTACTACTACTACTACTACTACTACTACTACTACTACTACTACTACTACTACTACTACTACTACTACTACTACTACTACTACTACTACTACCAGAATGGGAAATCAAAGTACCGACCAGATGCCTAAACCACTAAGCTATCTAGCATGCCTAACTGCTAGTATCATTGTAGCTTCATTTGTTTCAGTCCTGTATTTCATTTTCCCTTACAGTGGTGCCTCACTTGATGAGGATAATCCGTTCCAGTGAAATCGCTGTAGAACGAAATCCTCGTCAAGCGAAATAAAAAAGCCCACTGAAAGGCATTGAAAACCGGTTCAATACGTTCCAATGGGCAAAATACCTCAGCATCCAGCGAAGATCCTCCACAGAGTGGCCATTTTCTGATGCCTGTGCAGCGAAAAATCCATCCTGAACACAGCGGGGAGCCATTTTGAACAGCCAGTGGCCATTTTGAAAACCCGACGATCAACTGTTTTGATTGTCATAATGCGAAAAATAGGTTCCCGAAGCAGGGAACCGATTGTCGTAAAGTGGATTTTGCCCATTAAAACATCGTTTTGCGATTGCAATAGCAATCGCAAAAACATCGTCGTGAAGCAGATTCGTCATCAAGTGGGGTAATTGTTAAACACACACACACAGTACATGGTTATTGGTTTTTAAAAATCTTTTTGTCACTATGAATGTGACAGGAAACACACAGTCGCTTTGGGTCCTTTTATGGGTCCTTTTATGGAGAAAGGGTAAAATATTTTAAAGAAATAAATGTACACACACACACACACACACACACACACACACCCCATAGATCAATTTTGTCAGTCACAATGGCTGGGGGTGGGGTGGCTATGTTACACAATGGCCGGGGCTGGGGTGGGCATGTTACACCTCCAGCTTGCATGGTTTGAAATACTTTGGCTCCCTGCTGTATGTGAAATTAATTGCATTGCTTTGCCCTCCCCACCCCAGAATAAAGACGTGAGACATGTATAATGGGTTAAAACATGTGCCACACTTTATTGATCATAATTCAGTGTTGCCATGCTTTGGCAAAGGGAGGGCCCTCTGTAGTGCAGAATCAGGTTAAATCAGTGGTCTCAAAGTACCCCGTACTCAAGAAATGGGTGAGTCCCTGGCCCCAAGTTCTCACAGTCTTAAAGACAATGAGAACCCAGCCGGTTGCAGTTTGGCTACCCATGGACCTCAAGCCATCTTTACTTGTTGATTGTTGGTCCAGCTGTGGCCCAGTGCATCTTTTCCCCCAGGCACTGTAATCACACGAGGTCTGATGAGCTGTTCGCTTACCTGAGTTTGTAATGGGACTCACCAGATAAAAACCTGTTATACCTGCACTACCCGCCACAGCATAGGGACTAGCCCAGCTAAGTCCCATGCCCACCATCGAGCCTATCAAGCTCAGCAAGCAGGCCCCCCTTGATGTCTTCCAAGGAGACATCCAAACCCAAATCAGACAGATGAACAACATCATTCTGAAAAAACTCAGGCCTATCCAGTTGGATCCTCTGGTGACCAATCACCAATCCAAGGCTGCTGCAGACCGCTCTGCAAACCTCCCGGTTAACACTCCTGCGTGCTGTGTTAACAGAGAAAAATCTCCTGGCATCCCTCCACACCAACCAAGGGATTAACATGGATCACACAATTTACATGGCCGGATACATGGCCTTCAACCATTTCAGGTCAAGTAAAACATCTAGGATCAATGCCTTACCAGAATACCTGGCCAAATCATCACCACTGAGATGTATCACCAACAAATCTGGTGGAGACTGGCCAAAGGCCAACACCCTGCACAGTTGACTCCACAGCATTCCATGCAGCCCTCCCCATACGATGTGCACTCTGGCTCCAAGGCCCAGGTTGGTCCCCCATGGGGATGCAGCAGCATATCGCTCTGCCCAGTATACATATCTGTGGCCCAAAATCAAAATGTGCCTCCACCTCACCGACGCTGCGAGACCTGTAAAGACATAACAAAACCAGCCCCCCTGCCTAGACATTAGGGAGTGTACTGATGTATCTACAATAGGAGGATGAAGACCACCGACCCAAATGCTTAATTTTCTCCGTGCTATATCCCAGGGCTGCTGCAGTGGAAGCTGCACCAATTCTTAAAGAGTGTGTGCTGAACCTCATTCCCTGGACTCCTACCCTATCCAGTGCTACATCCATCAATTTCCAGAACTGATACTTCATCAGTGGCAAATTATCTTTATGTTTAAAGAAATAGCCTTAGTCTTGTCCCCTAACCTCCAAATATACTATCATGGCTCTCACAGGACAGATGCTTTCCATGTGACAATGCGCTAGTGCAAGTTGGGCAAACTTACCTAGTTGATCTACCTTGGATCATCGAATAAGAATTTGCACCATCCTCTTCTCAACTCTAACGTCCTGCCATTGCAAAGCTGCTCCAGCCTTGTCCTTCTTTCCAGAAGCCACTACCACACTAATCCTAAGGGCCCCAAAAAACGTCAACAGTGACGCTGCTTTAAATAGAACCATTTTATACTCATCCCTACACAAAAACTCCCACTGCTTACAAATGCGTTATAACAACACAGGTGATATGGGAGCCCTGGTATCCTGAACTCTACCCCTCTTCTTGGACCATCCTTCAATCATTTTCTTGATGCGGTAATCTGCCAAATGATCCTGATAGCCATTAACCCTAGCGTAAAATGCAAGTGCTGACAATCTACCCTGTATAGTTCCAGGGTACCCTGTATAATCCCTTTCTATTCAAATACACGATAAATTGCTGCAAATGATCCACTGGTGCCAGCCAAACTGACTCCAGGTTAACTAGCTTTCTAAATTCCTGGAATGCTATATTCACAGACAAGTAACCCTTCCATGTCCTTGGTGAAAGAACCAAGCCTATTGCTCTTCCCATGTCTCTGCGCCAATTTGCCAGACCTCTGGGGGCAGAACTTCTGAGAATTCGTTGGCTCTGGGGTCTAGCTCCCTGAACAGTTCAATCTGTTGGTGCGATAATGCATCAGCTAGTCTATTTTCTATACCTGGTATGTGTCGAGCCTGCACTAGAATGTTAAACTGCAGGGCCTGTAACGAAAATGCCCTGACCAATGCCATGACCCTCTCTGAATGCGATGTAAGGTTGTTTATGATATAAACAACTGCCTGAGTGTCACACCAAAAGTGCACCATGGAGTTTGACCACTCCTCTGACCATAGCCAAAATGTGCCCACTATTGGAAAGAATTATAGGAATGTTAAATCTCTGATAATGCCATTCTGATGCCAATCTTCAGACCACATGACGGCACACCACCTACCTCTAAAATAAATTCCAAACCCTAGGGAACTTGCCACATCTGACTAGACCTGAAAGTCTGCTTTCAGCCCCATTTCACCTCTCCAGAGCCACTGCTGGTTTTTTTTGCCCTTGTTCTGGCATTGAGCCCTGGCCCTGAAACATGATATGTTTGGGTGTTGACCCCCACCTGATGAACACTCATGCTTGAAATGGCATGGTTTCCTGGTACAAACACCCTTGGAGCTATACTCCCAACAGATCAGATGGGGTTGAACCACCTGTCCCACTCCAATGCGGGGATTCTGGCCCCGGGCAACTTTCCTATTCAGATGCCCACTATCAAACCTGTCCCCTAAATTGGGTCTCGCTGGGGTCATATGTTGGAGTCAAAGACCTGGCAGGGGCTCATCCCAACGAAGATTTGAATGAATCACGCTCCACATATGGAATGATTCATCATAGTGAAGCAACGCCTGCCCAGCAAAGTCTACATATGCCCTATAAATCAAGTCCAAGTATTGAAAAAGGGATTGCACTCGCCATGGTTGGGCCTTGACAACCACCCCGGCGTAAATCAGAAACCCAGGCAGCCAATTAGACCATGTCCTATCCAGTTTCTTCCTCCTACACCTCTTCTTCTCTTCGTCTTCCTTGTCAAGATCCTTTTTTTCTACATTTCTATTTAGTAACTCAAATAAGCCCACAGAATTATCCTTTCATATCTTTTCTTGTGTTGCCAGGGTGAAATGATTGCCCAAGGGCATTGAGTAATCACCATATGGCAACGCTTGTAAAATCACAGTGTTATAACCCATGTCAGGAACCGATGAATAAGGCTAGACCCCCACGCCAGCCATAGTGTTAAACTGGGCTGGTACTCTAAACTGAGGGTATGGTGTACCCCATACACTGAACTGCATGCTGGAACACGGCCACGTGGTGTTTGGAGGCTACCACTCTGTATGTCGTATGGTGTACAAACTGTGGGGTTAAATTGTCTACCGCCTGCCTAAGGCCAGGCAGTGATCGGTGAATAGGTGCCTGGTGCAATGGCCAACTAACCTAACAAAGTCGTCACCATACTTGATTCATCCC